CTTGGAGGGGGAGTGAGTGCATTTCTTGATAGCTATTTCAAGGGAGGGAGGTGTTGGTTGTGCTGTAAAGTGAGAGAGAGAGAGAGAGGACGAGGAAGAAAAGTGAAATGAGACATGGAAGAGGAACAAAGCCAAGAACACCTCCTTCTCTTGAAGCCTCCCTCCTTCGCCTCGCTCCATCCCAGACTCTCTCCTTCTCTTCTTCCCTCTCTCCTCGCTCTGTCTCTCACCATCTTAAAGCTCCTTCCCCCTGCCTCTGAGCAGCTGCCACTTCTGAGCCTGAAGAAAATGAAGGCAGATGAATCAATTTGGCCTGTGGCCCTAAAGTGCACTTGTCTGCACCCCAGACTGGGCGGGGGGGATAATGAGCCGATAGATTGAGCCGGTGCCGGAGCCGGGCACTGAGCGCCGAGGTGCCCGACGCACTACCGAGCCCCCCTCACACACACACACACACACACACACACATGCATGCACATACTGCTGATGCCTCCCTGAGCAGCGGTAGCAGCCTGTCGCTGGGTTAATGGGGGTGAGGGTCCTTTGCGCAGGACACTTTTCAGAACAAATTAGAGGAAGGATCTGTATTCGTCCTTTCCAGCCCTCCCCTCCCTGTGTTGCCCCTCTTCTCCTCCCGCCCTGCGCATGGGAAGCCCGTACAGCAGATATTGGAGCGTGGTTATGCTGAGGAGAAGAGCATCAAGGCAGCTAGAAAGAAAAAGGGGGCGGGCAGGGGCTAAGGTCCAGGGTCCTGGGGTAATAAGGATTGACACCGGGACAAGGCTGAAGCACTGCCTCCCTGAGCGCTGCTGACAGGTGACGGCAGGCGAGGGGGAGACGAGGGGCCGGAGCAAGGAGAGGAAAAGCCAGGTCAGGACTAACAGCTTCTCTTATTCAAGGAGGGAGACTGGGTAGCCATTCGATGCCCCCCCCCCCCCATCCTCCTGAAAACCCCTGCAAGGTGAAGGAGGTGGGATCAAAGGGAGCAAGACAACAAAGCATCACCCCTGCTGACAGGCTGCTGAGAGACACGCACTGCAAGGAGAGTGAAAATAAGAGGAGAGGTAGCCTAGCCTAGCATGAATCCATGTTAACTGCTACTGCCTCCATCGACTTGACTAGCCTTTTCTAAGTAGTGTGAGCTGTGCGACTTCACCCAGGGTTAGAGTAGTATAAATGAGGAGACCCAAGTCGGCACTACTCAACTTGGGGGGAAATTAAGATGCTGGAGGGCCCTTTGAAGATAATTAAAGAGCACAGAGCGGCGGCCTCCAGAGAGGGACCGCAGACATGTTCAATACCGAGACTAATGGAGCTAATTTCCAGTACATTATTCATGTAAAACACAGGCCATTACTTAGCTATGTTTTTCCACGTCTCTTCTATCTGTCGTCTTAAGTCGAACCCCCTCGGTCCTTCCCCACACACACCCCCCCCCCCCCCCCCCCACACACACAGATTAACCACATTACTTACTGCTTCAACCTGATTACCCTTGTCCCAGTACTGCATGGGTCAATTCTTCAATGTGAACAAACTAAATCAACACCAAAAAAAACTCACAGTTGCCCAAGAACTCCTCAAGGTTTCCCCACAACATTACCTCAAGCATAGTGGAAAAGGCATTACGACCTTGAACTCTGTCACCTCTCGCAACCAATCACATCTCAGCAGAGACCATTAGCCCTGTAGCTCGCTAACTTGTCCTTTAACATTAATGAGTACACACAAAAGAAAAAAACAACACATGAAAGCTGTACAGTTGGGAGCTTAGGGCCAATTAAACACCTCCCCAGACAGGAAATGAGTCCCTGCCTTAATCACAGGCAGTCAGCGTTGCCAATCTTTTTGTCAGAGTTGGTGAATTTCTGCCTAGATCAATTGCTCTCCTGTCCCGTTGATCAGCGGCTCGGGGAGTGTTCCTCGCGCGCTTCATCATTAACCTCGACGGCTAATTAGACGCTGTGCTCTGATCAATAGCTGAGTTGATTGCTGACTGGCTAATGCAGCCGCGGGCCCTGGAGGAGACGGAAACACTTCGTGGCGCCTTCAGGAATTTGTCAGCAACACTGATGCTGGGTAAACAAAGTAATCAACGGCTGCACTTGACGGGCGACGTGACGGCGACTGTACCTCTGTCTCCGCCTGCCTGCCTGCCTGCAGAGGAGGGCTGCTCTCTTTGTGAGGGAAGGAAATCAAAAAAGGCCACCATCTATTTTGAGATTCAAGGAGTGATTAGGCTGACAGCTAGAGAGCGCGAGAGGCAGAGGGAGAGGCATGTGGAGGTGGAAGTCAAACCTGATTAGGCCCACCTGCCAGGTTTCTCTTCCTTCCATCTCTACACCCTGATTGCTTGGTGCCGGCTCCCTCCTCCTCCTCCTCCTCCTCCTCTTCCTCCCCACCCCTGTCCTGTCACTGTTGACCTCAGCGCACTGCTAATGCCCCTTGGCCAATCAGCATGGCTGCCCAGGGTAATTAAAAGGGAATTGTGTCGACTTGGCATGTGAGCTGGTGGGCACGAGGGTAGGCAAACACTCTCGCCTCCCTCCCAGCCAGGTGGTAGCGTACAGGACCTGTCAGATTAGCTGATGACCCTTTTAATTCTAAACCAGCCGGGGGCCATAATTGATATTTACCGGGAAAGGTTAATTGTAGCAGTGATCTGCTTAAATTACAGTGGAGATCAGGAGACGGGGGCCAGCCACCGTGCGCCACCAGGGGAGCTGCTACATACAAACTGATAGTCGAATGGATTACACCCCGCGGCCATCGCCACTGTACTCCAAGGTGGCGAAGCAGCACGGAACTCTGTGATTGGCTGCTGCTTCACCACCTCATCGTCTTCCTGGCTGAGCTCGCCAACCTCCCATCTGGCTGGGAATTTGAATGCATGCCAACTGTGGGTCTTGATGCCCTGCAAAACACCAAGCTATCCAGGATTGGATTAGGGTTACTGTGATATGGGTGGCAAATACTGCCACTTGTACATTCAAACCACCTATAGCTATTATGTGTACCTATACCAGAACTGTTTTTATTATATTAAGACCAGAAAACAAAAGTATGATCTTTATTTCTCTGAATGGTTTGGAAATATTGTTTATTCAGCATTGTCTTCTTCCAGTTCATACTGTAATGCCTTTTTGATGACCTACAGAGCTGTGGTCAAATGAATGTGCCTTAGCTTTGAATTTGGAGTGGATTTTGAATTTTAGTCAGAAATCAGCAGTAAATCCGTTTTTCCCGGTTCTACGGTTTTACTGGTTCATATTTAGGAACATTTTATATTTCTGTGTGGAGGATAAGGCGAGCAATTAAAACAATACTTCTAGCTAGCGTTGTCAACCTGATGATGTGTCTTATTATCGCATTAGCATAATTATACAGTATATGCTAAATATGTTCTGGGAGAATAGTCTGTCTTACCTAAGTGATATGTATAGGAGGTGGTTTTGTAATAGTAAAATAACATTGATAAACAGATACTCAACAGAGTGCATACAAGAAACACTAATGCACAACAAGTATGGTATATCTTCACACGCAGCAGTGGGTTGAGGTTTGGTGTCGCAGGTGTTTTTGCTACAGCCAGTTCTGCTTTGCATTTAGCCAAAGCACAAACTGACACCAAGCTGAGTCATCACACTGACGTAGTGTTTCCCTCAGGTTCAGAATAGAGGGAGCCCACTAACATCCACTTGTATGCATTGTAGCTGCACTGTATTGTTATGCATAGATGCCCTACTTGTGGAGTATGTAGATCCTTCGTTGTGTCTTTATTAGGACTACTTTGAGCACTAGCATTAGCATTGGCTATTCTTTCTTTTCACACATAAACAGTCAAACAAATGTTCCCACTATTGCCACGTAAACACAACATACATACAAAAACAACAACTCATCTGTTATAATCAACAATGAAGAATGTTACCCTTTACAGAATCATTAGGTCAAACACAAAATCCAACAAGATGTAATTACACACTTTTACTACCAATACTATATATCATTCAAATAGCTTGCATATAGACTCTTATTTCACTATTTTTTAAACTAGTCCTTTCTTTTTGCCGTTACTTTTAATATTTACTTCTTGCACTATATTTTTGTGTTTTTCTGTAATATTGTGTTGCACTGTTGGAGAAGCCTGTGACTTAAGAATTTCATCGACATAACTACTCTGCAGCTATGGTTGTATGACTAATAAAGAACCTTGAACCTTGAAATATAGTTAATGATTACAAACAAAGGTACTTGTCAGAAAATACCTTTAATTGTATTTATATATCCAGACAGTTTTTATAGAGATGTTAAATTCCAATAAATACGATATTAAAAAAAAAAGATTCTGACACAGAAACCAGAATAACCTACTTTTAAAACGCTTTATTGGTATAGTGGAGTAAATTCGATTTTAATAATTAAATAATTATGATAGCGTAAAACCATGCATGAATATTATCTGCTTTTCCTTTGGTTGATCAGTTTTTATTTTGTTTCTTATTTTCCTCTCCGGGTCCTGTGCAGCCATTGACAAAATTCCCAAAAGAAAAGACTATGTTGTTCATGTCATCTGTAAGAAACTAGCACTGGACTTTGGCCTATGGTCTTTTAATATATAACAGTTTGAATCTTTCTCCTTGCCTTGTTATTAAGGTAATAAGCCAGTCAGCAGTGATTTACAGTTATCAGAGCAGCTTTTAGGATAATACCTCTTAAATGCCTGAAAAGTAACTGCCTGGTATATTGCTTAATAATGAACACAGTAATGTGGTTCATGACGCAAGGACATGATTTTAAGATGTCCTTTTTCCTGTGTCCCCTGCAGATCAAGCCTTTAAAATACCTTTTATTTTATTTATGTATCCAGCCTGCTTTTAAATAAAACTCTGACACAAAAACCAGAATGACATACTTTGAATATTGCTTAATTATGAACACAGTAATGTGGTTCATGACACAAGGGCGTGATTTTAAGATGTCCTTTTTCTCCCCTGCAGATCAAGCCTTTAATGCTACGTCCGGTCAAAGTGATCGAAGACGAGGCGGTGAAGGAGCTGAGCCGACCGCACAGGAGCAACTCCAAGGAGCAGCTCATCGAGGTAAGTCGTCGGACGAGACCTTTCCCCTCTCCACGGACCTCCTACAGCGGGCAGGAATATCCACTTTCACAGGCCGAGGAGGGGGGGAGGTTGGAAATAGAGAGTGGGCGGGCGACAGCAACATTGAGGCTGAGATCAGAGAGGTGCAGTAGTTCCCGCTGTTTCCAGATATCACCTCATAAATCCCCTATGTGATGGTTGGCTGCTAGCACACAGACAGGAAATGATTAAGCCAGTCACACAGCATCACCTTGTTGGCCTGGCATTATTTAAGCATGGCACGGTTAAATGTAGACATGACCTAACGCAGTTCAGCCAGGTGTGGGCTGACCTCCACGACCCCGGACTGGAACGAGTTAAAGAAAGCGCTCCAATTATCGCTGCCGCGCCGGCATCCATATGCTAACCCATTTAGAGGAAGAGTCAGTGGCGGAGGAAAATGGAGGCCATGGCATCGGTGCAGCATAATGGTTGAAATAATGCAATTTAGATACAGCGGGAAGTAATGAGAATTTATGCAAAAATCCCAAGCGGCTCATTTTAAATGAATGTAGAAATATGCTTCCTAACTAATGCCTGTCAAGCAGACCTCCCAAACTCAACCAAATTCAATCAGACTGTTCATTTAGCTGACGAAAGCAGGAGGAGAGGGAGAGAAAGAAGAGGAAGGAAAGCTGCTTTTTACAGCAATGGGTGAAATGATGGAGGAAAAGGATTTTAATGAACTTATTAAATACATTGTTTTAAGCCATTCAGCACTCCAATTGCAAATCCAGCTTGATTGGAGTAAGAACAAAATCAGCCAGCCTAATCTTTCCCATCTCCTTCCTCTTTTTTCTACTCCCTGCTGTTCTGTTTCTCTGGTGCTCTGTCCCCCCTCTTCCTCTCGCACTATTCCTCCTGAATCTGTAAAAGGCTGTCTTTTAATGAAAAAGTCAGGGGGAAGAGGCGGGCTTGTCAGATAAAAGACCGATGCCGGTTGACAGCTCTGACAGGGATATACGACAAGCACAGAAGAAGGGGGGGGGGAGAGTGAGGGTGGTTGCGGTGATAGAGTAGGGGGGGGGGGAGGCACTGTTGAAAATTGCACGCTGTAATCGCCGACGGTGTTAGATGTGGCATGTCTCTCTAATCTGCTGCCAAATAAATGGTGCACAGACGCTGATCGCCGTAACCACGGCATCTCTGTCTCTCCCTCTCACCTTCATACACCTCTTTTTTTGTCCGTCTGTCCGTCTCTCTGCAGGCTGTTGTATTCCAGGCCTTCACACAGCGAGATTTCCTCAATATTTCTTATTTTTCCAGCTCCGTGAAGTCTCCGCCACCGCAGTGAAAGCACCGCTAATTTTTTCGTAAAACACGCTCCACCACATCAAAGTGGCTCCCCGGCTTTTAAAAGCTCTTAACTAATGATGCCGACGAGTAAAATGTATTCCTCTTGTCTTACTGCCAAAGGAAATAGAGACAAATGTGGACGCACCCGCCTGCCCGCCTCTAAAAACAGTCATGCATCAATTTGGGAGCACAGGGTTTGGAAAAAAAATTGCAGGGGAAGCTGTTTGTTCATTGCCATGGTCGGGTCTTTATCTGTTTATTTTGACTAGGTAATTGTGCCTGCGGTGCAGCGGGGCCCCGGCACTAAGCCACACAGGGATTAGGGAAATATGAGGTGGTGGAGGATGAGAAGGGGGGGGGGGGGTTCCACTTCATCTGTGTCCTGCGGAGGAGAGGGCAACAGTGGTGGTGCCGACACCCTCCTGTTCCCACCCACACCCACCCACACCCACCCACATGCACCTGATCGGCCTCACATGCATCTCTTCCCTTCATCATGCTCCATCGCGCTCTGATTGGCCCCCCTCTTGGGCTTCCTTCATCCACAAAAACCAATAGTCTGGGTTGGGAGAAGATGGACCGGACCCTCCCCTCTTGTCGCCGTGATTTTCTTTTTACTCTCCTTTTTTTCAGTGAGCCGAGTGGAGGAGGGGGCATGGAAATGGGGAGAGGATTAGGGGGCGGATTTAGCAACATTTCTCTTCTCCGGGGCTGTTTAGTTAACCCTTAAATGCCGCCAGCATCCGCCCCATCCCTCTTGCCATCACACACACTCACACACACACACACTCACACACACACACACTCACACACTCACACACACACACACACTGCTACCTCCCCCACACTCCCTCTCTGGGGCGGGTTTTTAAATCCTTTTGAAGTCCTAAGCGCTGCAGAAATCCATTGAGAGCCATGTATAATGGCTTTTAAGAGAGAGTGTTTAGCTGGATGCCGACCCTATGGCTTATGAACCGCTGGCGTTTTAATGGATCCCCCCTCTTTCCCTCCCCTCTTTTTCCTCCCTTCACTGGCACTAAATCCAATGGATTGTCCCTCATTATCATTTAAATAAGCCTCTCTTTCTGCTCAGAATGCTCCAAGTTGAATGAACTCTACATAGTAAGGCTAATTCCAAATGGCCTTGGCCTCCCACCACCTATGCCCATACGCACTCACACATGCATATCCACACATGTAAGTGCACTCACAACATGCACACTCACAGACAACAGGCCACATTCTCACTTGTACACACTTTTGGCCCCTTTGTGTCCCCAGATTGTGCCTTCTGTGCTCCCCTCTCCCTCTCTCTGCTCGTGGTGGTTTCAGAGAGGTTGAGCAGAGTGGGAATAGCCTTTTCATTCCCGCAGAGCCTGCTTTCCGGTTCGCGGCGGGACTCCTCCCTAATCGTCACGGCGGGAGGCGTCCTGCGAATCAGAGGGCAGAGAGGCGTTGATGAGGGCCGAGGCCTTAGAGCAGGTGTGGGAGAAAGGATGAGGGGTGTCGGGAAGGTGCAAAACAAGAGAGGTGGCGGCGAAGGTGTGGGGGAGGACGCTCGGATTGAAGGTGGACCTATGGATGAAATTGGTCTAGCAGAAAAGTCCCCTCCAGAGACCAGGGGGGGAGAAATTGCCAATCTAGACAGGAGAATAAAAGAAGTGAAAAGTGGAAGTGGAGGGAGGGATTTGGAGATTGGTATTCGTGCTGGGCTCTGACGGACAGAACAAAACTCAAGCTTATTCTGTCTCCGTCCTGCTCTTGTTCAGCGTTTAGAGGACTGCATTAGAAGCACAGGAGGACTCTGACGGCCCAAAATACCTCCCTAAACGCAGAAAGAGATATTTATCCTGAGTAAACGGGGCTGATTCAAAATGAAGAACGCTTGTTTGCAGAATGCGGCTGACATCATTTTAAAATAAAACAGCTTATATTGTAAGATTACATTTTAAGATGCGTGAACAAAACGTAATATATCTTTGCCTGAAAGAATATAAAGCATTTTGGAAAGGATGTCTTGCCTGTTGATGCTCTTGCAAAACAAATGCCGGGAAATTATGAGATGGAAAAAGAAGAGAAGCCATTATTTTTTGGCTAGCAGCGTTCATAAGCTGCTACTCACTCTCAACACAATCATTTTTCTATCAAGGTTGTATATGTGTTATCAGTTCATCTACGGGTGCAGGTGATGGATTTACTCCCGTGTGTCTATCAATGTCAGATGGCACTCTTAAAGGCACAGAAGCAATTCAAACAAATAAATAGTGACAGTTAATCTTGAGCTGCACTGCAATCTATAACCTGTATTATAAAACGATCTGACTCATTTTTAGCCATCAAAGATTATAATAGGTCATTAACTCTGACTCAGGTTCACATCTTAATGTGTATTTGCTACGTTGGTCCACAGCGTAAAACGTAGTAGCTTCAAAATAACACCTCAAATTGTAAAATGGCTACGTATTTTCCCCCGAAATGTATATATAAAGAGAACTGGATACAGCGTTGGAGGCAAAGTTGTGGTGCATGAAGCCAAAATGGCATGACTCTCAAAAGCAGAAACACCTGTACATACCTGTAGCGCATGTTGCAACCATTGGACCCTAATGATTCAGGCTATTCAAGTGTTTGTACTGGGTAGTACCCAATGTAAGTCAATGGGAAAAAGCTTTTATAGGTCCAATATCTTCACGGACTGACACATACGTTAAAGAACCGCTGTTCGGCCACTACGACAATCTGCATCATTGTCCGAAAATCTTGATTTCCCCCCCTGTTCATTTGTAATGGCCAGTGTCCATGTCACAGTTTTGGTCAGAAAAAAACAACAAAGCTGGAAAACTGTTTAGTTTGATAGTTACAATGGAAATTGTCTCAGGTTTTTTCCGTTTAAGAAGGTGGTTTAAAGTGGACCTATCATGCTATATTTGAATAATATAGTGTAGGACCATACCTATATAAGGCATATTTATACTTTTTTTTTTCAAAATACCAAACAGATCATGCATTTTAGCCATGCCTCATTTTGCTCAATTTGACAATTTCTAGCTCTGTTTTTGCAAGGGCTGATTCTGTGAGAACAGCACCACCTACAGGCCTGGCATATGTACTACAGCGTCTCCAGCGCTTTCGAACGGGAATGGCCGTGGCTGTCTCCTCCTGATTGGTGGAGTTGGCCCAATAGCCGTAGCGCCACCGTCCTGACGTCAGGACAGTGTTCAAATCTGGATCAGTTTTTATCAGATCCGTTGCAGCCCCTTTTTTTAGAGATTTGGGTATGGAGGAAAATAGAGAGGGTTGTGTTTTCTGACACTTGGTGAGTTCCCTGGAACACCAGGGACACATATTCATGTATAAAAGACGTACAAAAGTGCATTTTGCATGATAGGTCCCCTTTAAGCGATAGCAGCGTTCATAGCATCTTTGTTATTTTCATTGACTGAAAGTTGACGATCATGCAGGGTGTCCGCGGGGTCTTAAAAAGTATTAAAAGTTGATAAATCAATTTAGCGAAAATGAAGGCTATTAAAAAGTATTAAAAGGCATTTTCCAAGGTATTACATTTTGTAGCTTGTTTTCAATAAGTATATTAATTGTCCAAAGAGGTTGTATTCTACAGTTTGCCTGAATGTAATCATTGCGTAGGTGTGTAGTGTGATTCTGTGTAGTTTATTTATGGCATCCTGTTGGATTTGACGTCATCTGAACAGGACATCGCACGCTCACTGCTTGATAGTGCGAAGCTCCGTTTACGCCGGTTGTTAAACAACATCGTTATGGGGAAATGCAAGTCTGCGTCCAAATGGTTGGAAGATAAGGAGGAAGGACAATCAATACTGTATATAGTAAATGTGAGGTAAAGTGTGTCACCAATGTAACCGGTTAAAACTCCAAGTGGCGATGAGGTCTTAAAATGTATGGAAAGGGTCTTAAAAGGTATTACATTTGACTTCAGGATTCCTGCATATACCCTGTCATGTGACATCGAAGGGCCATTACAAATGAGTTAGGGGGGTATTGTGAGACTAGTATGTGTTGCGCCATAGACCAAAGTAGCTTATAAATGTAACGATGTGAGGTTGGGTTGCTAAATCATTTTTTAAGCACTGCAAATGCACCTTACACTGTGCTTAAAGTGCATTTATAGAGCACCAATGACAATTTTTCACAATTTTCACTATAGTTTTACCAAATAGTTCAGGTTATACACAGTGTATTTCTTTGAGGACTCAATGAAGTCCCCCACAGGACGTGAGTGATTGCTTTTAAGATCGGGAGCTGCTCAGCTACCCCCATGGCTGAGGCAAGAGTGTGCGGGAGTGATGTGTGCAGGCGTGGGGTACATGGCGGGGCGGGTAAAAGGTTAACGTGAATATTGATATTAAAGCGCCGCTGCTTCATCATGTCTGTGTCAGCGAGTGAAACGCTCCTTAAAGGTCATCCCTGTTCTCCTCTCTCTCCCCACAGAGCTCCCCTCACTCGCTGTCAGGCCGCGGCTACTCGGTAAGTGGCATTTTCATGCTTCATGGCTTTACGGCAGAATTACAATCTCCAACGACCCGCTTTATGGCCCCGGCGCTCGACATTTTAATTATGTTAAATAGAGTAATGGAGAAATCATGATATTAGGAACATTAATTCTGGCTGACTGACTGATTAAATTGCGGGAAGGTGTCCTGCGCTACCTTGGCGGAAAAAAGACCCTCGTTTTATTGGCATCGATCAACGCTGTCCGCCGGTGCTGCAGTTTGGCTGTCAGAGTTGTATGTCTTCCTCCAGTGACTGTCAATGGAGGAGCCTTTTGCTCATATACGACAATACGCCTAAAAGCCTCTTTAAGACTAAGCAATAAAAACAATGCCTCAGCGCCACAGAAATGCATCTACATTTACAACTTTAGCAGGATCCATAGCAGTTAAACATGTCTAATGATTTGTCTGGAACAGCTAGTGAGTCAGTAACAGTGTTCTTCAAAGGGAAAAGTGCCCGCGAGGAATATTTAGTGATGTCTTGGAAAACGTCAGCCCGATCCTTTCAAACATACGCCAGCTCACACTTTGTCAGCGCAGGACTATTTTTATCCGTTGATAGCATCTGTTGCCTTGCCCCGGTGCTTCTTCCACACCGTAAAGTTGTGCCCCTCCCCTCCCGTTGTTTCCAAGATGTGTCTCGTCTCTGGGTAATAGAGACAGCAGTCGTCCTTTGCTTAAAGGGGAACTAATAAGAGGAACATTCTTTAAAGTGTGCTACTTTTAGCTCATGAGTGGCATATGGCAGTTCTTATTGCAGCTTGGAAGCAATCATCCCGACAAACATAACAACTATAAATGGTTTGTCATCGTTAATCTGCCTCAAAGGACCGCAGATAAAGCGCCGAACAAAGCTTCACTTCAAAAGACCTTGATCTATGTGCTATCTTTTGTTTTAATAGAACATGTCACATTCCTATTCCCCGGCGGCCGCATACTCACAGATGGATGAAAACAAACAAGACCTTCCAAAAAAGCTCTCGGAGCCCTTTGGCTCGAGCTGTCAGTTTGAGTCGGCAGGGAGCGAGGCCTTCTCTTCATCCGAACGAGGAAGGAAGGAGTCAGAGGGCAGGAATGGAGGTGGAGGGGGCTTGGTGGTGGTGTTGTGGGGTCGTCGGTATAGTGTGCAAGTCCAGGATTCGAGGGGCAGGAAGTTGTTCCCGGGCGATGCGATGGTGCTATCTGCCGCCTGCGGGCTCCTCCTGGTGCTGAGCTCTGACTCTCAATCTGCTCTGCTGCAGAACGCTTGATTTCCGGGGGTCTCTCCTTATCTGTAAGTGCTTCAGGCTTTACAGTATGATGGTTTCAGAGGGGGGTTGTGGGTAGAGAAGGGGCTCCAGGGATCAGCGGGGCAGAGGCTGAGTAGGTATGGGAGGAGGAGGCCAGCGTTATGGCTTCAGGAAGAGGTTATGTATGTGGGTGGAGGGCTGTGTGTGAGGTGGGAAGGGTCAAAAGGGCGGGGACAGCCATAGGAAGTCCCATCGGCCCCCAATAGTACGACCACAGCCTTCTTCTGATTGGCCCCGTAGCACTGATCGCCATCGCTCTGAAATCAAGTCGTCGGATGGGGGCTCAAGTCGTCGGATGGGGGCTCAAGTCGTCGGATGGGGGCTGGCTATCTGTCAGCTGTCACTATGAAGTAAGAAATTAAAAACGTAAATATCTCCTGACAGTTTGTTTTCTACATCTATGGGAGGTAACGCCTCCTTCTTGTTTATGCTTCCATATGTCTCCCTTCCTATGTCGCCTGCCAGGCTCGAATGGCCTCGTTTGAATGCTGTACTCCAGAATGTAAAGGAATTCTCCGGGCTTTACTGTCAGACTCATGAGAAAGGGAAATTGGAGTGTTTGGAAACAGAAAGTATCATTATTTGGCAGAATGCATTGTCTGCTGGTTTCATTCATTCAATGCTTCATCATCTGCACACATTCTGCAAACATGACATGACCCTCATCACGCCTTTGTTCTCGGTCTCATCTTATTTTCTTCGCTGTTTTCTTTGTATGTCTAAAATACTGATTAAAGATGCTGCAGGCTGGTGCACATATTTGTCAAACCAAGCTGTTCATTGCGGATTTTAAATATTGTAATGTCCATATTTGAATGTTTTGAGGGTATTTTACCTCAACAGATTAAAATAAGTCAAAGAAATAACTAGATAAATACAAATACTGGCCATTGATGTGTATTATACAGTTCCCTCTAGAGGGGACTTTGCGATGTTAGCCTTTGCAGACCATTCACATGCACATAAACCTATAACACACTTCAGCAGGGGTCTCCAACCTTTCTTCATCTGAGAGCTACTTTGAAAAAATGAAAGTGGCCAAGAGCTACTTGCATCACATCGCTTACATTTATTCACATCGCACTCACCAGTTGAATTTAGCTATACTTTTGTACACGTGTGAAATTGCAATACCTAAAGCTTATCAAAAATCTTAACTTCACATCAAAGTCCAAGAAAACGAAGATGTCTCACATATTATTATGGCCCACATAGGGAGTACTTCACTGAACATTCACATAAGTGTCCTTAATCACCACCTTACAAGCATTTCACTCTTTTTTACAGTTAGTGAGATGAATGGCGCTGCATGGAGTCCACCATACAGGTGTATGCTGGACCCACTTAGGTTCACTCTAATAGAGTCATTTACATGTTCATCAGTCGGTCTTGTTCTGTATTTAGATTTCATTCATGTCAGAAAAAGCTGCTTCACAAAGGCATGTAGAGCCAAATAAAGCAGACATGTTCAGTGCTGCTTGGTGAATGTTCTATAGTTTTCTGGGTCTACAAGGCTCCAGAAATGTTGTGAGTTTTGCTGAGACTTAAGCTGAACATTATTTTGGAGATCTCCACAGGATTGACACTGAACAGTTCAGCCATCTTTTTCTTCTTCTTCTTCTTCTTCGTCTTGACATTCAATTATAAACCATAATAAATCAATTGTATAGGTCTAGCCTCCCTATATCTGTGTGTGAAATTGTTCCAAAAACAAAAAACTAATGCTTCTGCAGTCTAGCTGCAGCTTCTAGCTACGGTCTTCTGTTAAAAAAAAGACAGTGAATGTCCTGAATGTGGCATCACACACATGACTTGAGTCTGAACACAGCAGACAACAGGAGTATTTACAACAGCATTATAAAAACAAAAATAGTGCACGTGGGTGCACACTTGCATTCTCTGTCTTACTGTTACATAAATCCCATGAATGTATGAGGTTAAGTTAGCTTCATCATATCTCAATCAGTGATTAAGTGAATAATAATGTTTCTATCGGGTCACTATCAGCCATTATTTTCAAGGCGGGGTTTGGAGGAACGGAGAGGAGACGGTGATCGCGGAAGCTTTCCTCCTGCCTTCACAAACGTTACACACGTATTTATCAACTGAAAATAGCAAGAGGACATTCATACTCTGCAATCCAAGACTTGATTAAATCCACCAAAAACCTGACATGACGATAACGAGTGTTTTTCAAAAAACACAAATCCCTCCCTGTGTGTCTCTGAGCCGCAGCGACAGGGCCTGATTCAGAGCGGGTCCTTCTGCTGTTGGTTCTGGACTGGTGTTGGTGGATAAGGCAGACTGCTCCTTGATCTCTGCGTCACCGACCAATTTGATATTCGTGTGACAGAAAAGATTCTAAAATAAAAAACCGTTATTGTCCGGCCGTGGCCGAAAAATCAAGAAGCAACGTTATACGCTATAATCGATAATCGAGCGGCGAGCTACTGAAAAGCTGCCCGATCGACGTGTTGGAGAGCCCTGCACTACAGGAAAGAGAAAAGCCAAAAAGCACAATAGGGCCCCTTTAGCATGTGTACATGTATGGCAAACATACAGTAATAAGCACCTAGTTAAAGTGTGTATGTATAATTCACTTTTCATGTATCTCTCTATTGATTGTCAAATCACTGCAAAAGGGCAACACATCTAAGATTTCATAAACCGAGTATACATGTACTTATATGTGCAATTACACAACAAATACATAATGAACCGCATCATACCAGAAGTGGTTGGCAGTCATTTTCTGTTATCTAAATGAGTTAAATTGAATGCAATTACAACAAACAGTGTTAGGAACATATACAAATATATACCTTACAGTGTTATATATATATGTCTAAAAAAAACGGACTGGTAGGATAACAAACCTTAACTTACTTTCCCATAAGAGCACGATGTGTTTATCCAGGTGTTGACATTTCTAGACGTGAAGTTCCCCCCTCCACACACACACACACACACACACACACACACACACACACACACACACACACACACACACACACACACACACACACACACACACACCCCCCGTTCAGGGGTGAGGGCTTATCTCTGGCTCGTTGAGTCCAGCAGCGATATGTAGCAGCAGGACTGAGACTCACTATCTCTGGGAGGAAGACTGGATATGGAATTGTTTATCAGGCCGACTCTCTGCTGTCCGCTTTGTGCCGGCTTCATTACAGCCGGGGCTATGTTTGGGAGACAATATCTCTGCCTTGTTTCCTGCTCTGCTACCTGCTTGTTGTTCCACTGGAGATTGGCCCGGGCTCTGGCGATTTATCATCCTCTCTCAGGGCTCCTTGATAAAGAACCCAACATCCCCCCTCTGCGCCTGGGAGATACGGGGCAGCAAGAGACGGGGAAATGTCAAAGAATCTCAGCGAAACTATCTGCCCAGCCTGCCGTTGCCCCTGGGCTGCATACTGTACGGAGGAGGAGGCGTTTCAGCTAAGCGACAAGACAACACACCTCCCTTTCCTTTCAGATGAAGTGATTGTACCTCCGTCTACCCCCCATCTTCTAAAACCACCCAAGGCCTGCTCATGTTTTCACGCACGATAAAAGCATGGAGCTTTGTCTGTGACAGTATAATCTGACTAGTCTGTTTTGGGGAGGCTTTATCTCTGTGATGTCAGGGAGTTAAACCTCAGCCCGGGTTGTTTGAGACTGCTCG